GTCCGGGGCGGGTTTCTTGGTACCCAGACCCGCCCTGTGGCAGGGCGGGTCCAGGTCGGGTAATTGATCACGGGTCGCGGGTCGGGGCAAGTCGACCCAATGGGTATGCAATTTATTTGAAAAACATTAGAAATATTCATTATTTTTATTATAAAACTAAGAAAATAAACAATATTATGACAATTATAGTTAAATTATTGGAGAAATTGAGGTTTTCACTAATTTACAACTTTATTATAGCTAAAATATGATGCGATAAAAGTAAAATTCAAAGTAATTTGACTAAGATTTCATGTAATTTAGACAAGAACGGGTCAAGAATGGGGTGGGTCAGGGCAGGTCGGGTCGATGAGACTACCCATGCCCGCCCCGCCCCAAAACAGGTCAAACGGTCGGGTAAAACAGGTCAGGTCGAAATTGCCATCCCTACCCGCATTCTTGCGGAAACGCCTTCGTCGATGCAGAAAAGGCCGAGAGTCATGCGGAAGCGCAGAGAGAGAAGAGGCGGACGAAGAAAACCAGATATATGTTTTCTGGTTTTGATGTTGGACTCCGACGAAGAACAGGCGGCCGCCGGAGGAAGAGGCCGTTGAAGAGGCTGGCAGGCACGCGGCCGATACCGAGGTGAGCGAGTCACCGGTCGGAAGCTCGCTGCAGGCGACCGGAATGTCGTTGCCGGCGGCCGGAATCTCGCCGCCGCCGGCCGGAATCTCGCCGCCGCGCGGGGTTTTTTTCCTGCTTTTTTCAGTTCCTAGAATTCTTGACACTTATTCCACGAGACGACCACCTGCAACGATTGATACAGCTCCGGTCGATTCAGTAATTCTTTGGGCACATGTTAACATCGTGCCGACTCACTTTGGCAAAACGAGGTAAGTATTTTATTTCATTAAAGTTCATTAGCTAGTTAGATTAGAATTTTGTGAAATTAGTATTAGTTTGACTAGATATATTTTACTAAATTAGATTGATTTTACTAGGTGAATTGAAATATTAGTTTGGGTTATAGGTATAATATGCCCCTCTACTATGACGTTTTATCAAACATGCCCCTTTACTATTTTTACATCAAACATGCCCTTGTACTTTGAAAAAATTATCAAACATACCCTTCTGTTAAAATTTTCATTGAAAAATCGTCAATCGTGGTTGAACCGAGATTTAGATGACCCGACATCGGCAAATGGAAGGAAAAATGTCAGTTTTGTCCCCTGTTTTATTTCCATGGGTCTTTTCAAAGTGAAATTATTTGAATTATTTGATTATACAAAAGAACCAAAAAAATTATAAAGTGAATTTATTAGGGATATTTTAGTCATTTGTGTCGTCCAAACTAAAGTTCGGCCTTGGTTAACGGTTTTTGGATAAAAATTTTAACAAAAGGGCATGTTTGATCATTTTTACAAAATACAGGGGCATGTTTGATGTAAAAAATAGTAGAGGGACATGTTTGATAAAGCGTCATAGTAGAGGGGCATATTATACCTATAACCCAAATATTATAATTGCATGTGAAATTAGTATTAGTTTTGATTATACATCTTTTTCTAAAGGCAAAATACACTTATATAGCCATAACTTTACACTTTGTGACAAATATAGCCAAATTCTGAAAAATACACAGAAATAGCCAATTCGTCCATTAATGTAACGGAACAATAACAACGGCTGACTGGACAAACGATCGTCTGTGGCCGCGCCTGCCTTGGTCCACATGGCATGCCAAGGTGGAATTTAAATATAATTATTTATTAAATAATAAACATTAAAAAAACTCTCACATCTTTACCATAATTTTTTCCCCAATCCCTATCTCCTTCCCCTGCATCCAAGATCTCTCTTCTTCTCCTTTAGCTCTCTGTGTCTACCCTTCCGCTCACAGCAACCCGCCGCACAAGCAATCGGCAGTAGTAATCACAATCAGAGAAACAATCACCACCAGCATCAGAGGGCTTAATCTTGAACCATCGCCAAATTCGAGCTCATGAAGTTCCCCCATTCTCGAGATCCTCTAGATCCGCTGCCGTAATTTCCCTTTCGGCACTTTGACTTCTTAATCCGACTCCCTGGCTCCAGATCTGAACTGCACCTCATCGTCATCTTCCTCTTCGTCTTTCCAATCCCTTCAGTTGTGGACTGGGGTTTGGCAATGACGGCGGTGGCGGAGCAAAAACCCTAATGAATCGACGATGTTGAAGAAGAATCACAGCCAGTAGTCGTTTTCCAGCAGCCCCTTCTCTGTCGTTGCTTCTTCTTCCCCATTCTTGATGCTTCACCAAACCCCTTACTCCATTGAAATGGCAGTAGTCGTTGAATGAGAAGGCGTTGGTTGTGGCATCGGCAACGGCAAAGGAAAAAATCCCTCTTTGCCACGACAAAAATTCCCCACCTTCCCATTTAATCTCAACCTGGGAATCGGGATCTGGGATCGGCGGGATTTGATCTTCAGCCGTCGTTGCATTTGTGGATGATGGCCCCGTTTGAGCTTCATTGGCGGCGACGGGGGAAAGATAGAAGCTCGCTCAGAAGAGAGGAAAAATCAAAAATCGCCTAGCCGGTTGTCATTGGCGCTCGCTCAGAAGCAGAGGGATGACATGGCGAAAAATCCGCTATCTCCACCGTGAGTTCCTCCTTGAAAAGTCCAGATCGAGAAACTGAACAACCCTAAGCGGCGGCACTGATTCTGCAACGAAACGAAGGGCGGCGAGCACGAAGAGTTAATCTGGGTGCTTAATTAATAAAAAGATGGGTGCTTAATTAACAATGGCGTGAGTTCCTCCTTGTTTAATAATTAATAAAAAGAATTACTGATTATTATATATAAATAATTTTAAATCAATCATATTTTTAATCCTACGTGGCGTACACGTGGCATGACATGGCGACTTAGAGTTGATGTGTGTGCTTAGGTGGCGTCCACCTCAGCTTGTTGTTGTCGATGTTAAGGGAATTTCTAACACCGTTAATATTTTTAACGAAAATGGCTAAATTTGTCAAACGTATTTTTAAAATGTGGCTATATCTGTGTATTTTTCAAAAATTGGCTATTATTGTCAGAAAGTGCAAAGTTATGGCTACTCATATGTATTTTGCCTTTTCTAAATTAGATAGATTTTACTAGGTCAACTGAAATATACTCAAACCTGGAAGTCAACTTAAATATTAAAATTGCATGTGAAATATTGTGAAATTATTATTAGTTTTCATTATATATATTTTACAAAACTAGATAGATTTTACAATATGTTCTGAAAATAGAATTACGCCATGAAATTGAATTAATATAAGTTTTGTGCACTATAGGCTGGTGATCGTGTTCACCAGACTCGAGGTATGACCAATTTGGTCACGTACCATCCATGTTATGAGCCGTATCTCCAGGATGCCGGTTTGTTTAGCGTTCAGCAGTTGGTCCCTATGACTGGTTGTATAGATGCATCTTTGATCACTGCTCTCGTAGAGCGTTGGCGTCCTGAGACATCGACCAAGGTTGAGCACAAGAATGCAGGATCAAGAAAGACAGATGGTTTGTAAGAAGTTCATGCACCCTACAAACTCTTTCAACTGCACAGACTAACCCGTTTGTGAAGATAGGCATGTATAAACACAGTGTTGTACTTCTGGGTAATAGGGAAGGCTCTTGTTGTGTGAGGCAACACAATTGTATCCAGTAATGTCTGTTTTTAGCGACTCAAACACATTTTGTATAGTCGATTGTAATGGGGTAAATTCCCAAATTTTTTTTTTCATTTACAACTAATATGGTGGTTTTAAGTATATTTACACCGATATTGTGTTTTTGTGGGGAAGAGGTGCGGGTTCACGGGAGACTCAAATTTAGTGGTTTGAAAAGCGGATCCAAAGTGGACTATTGCGGACCCGCACTAGACTCGTGCGGACGCGCATAAACAAAAAGGTCGCGCCAATCCCCTGCGAGAACCCACCATCGCCACCCACCAGCGCCGACCGCCACAAATCCCCCCACTCTCACGCGGGTTCAACCCGCATTCCTACGGAAACGCCTTCGTCGACGCAGAAAAGGCCGAGAGTCATGCGGAAGCGTAGAGAGAGAAGAGGCGGACGAAGAAAACCAGATCTGTGTTTTCTAGTTTTGATGTTGGACTCCGACGAAGAACAGGCGGCCGCCGGAGGAAGAGGCCGTTGAAGAGGACGGCAGGCACGCGGCCGGCACCGAGGTGAGCGAGTCACTGGTCGGAAGCTCGCCGCAGGCGACCGGAATGTCGTCGCCGACGGCCGGAATCTCGCCGTCGGCGGGTTTTTTTTCCTGCTTTTTTTTTCCAGTTCCTAGGATTCTTGACACTTATTCCACGAGACGACCACGTGCGACGATTGATACAGCTCCGGTCGATTCAGTACTCCTTTGGGCACATGGTCAACATCGTGCCGACTCACTTTGGCAAAACGAGGTAAGTATTTTATTTCATTAAAGTTCATTAGCTAGTTAGATTAGAATTTTGTGAAATTAGTATTAGTTTGATTAGATATATTTTACTAAATTAGATTGATTTTACTAGGTGAATTGAAATATTATAATTGCATGTGAAATTTTGTGAAATTAGTATTAGTGTTGATTATACATCTTTTTCTAAATTAGATAGATTTTACTAGGTCAACTGAAATATACTCAAACCTGGAGGTCAACTTAAATAATAAAATTGCATGTGAAATATTGTGAAATTTTTATTAGTTTTCATTATATATATTTTACAAAACTAGATAGATTTTACAATATGTTCTGAAAATAGAATTACGCCATGAAATTGAATTAATATAAGTTTTGAGCACTATAGGCTGGTGATCGTGTTTACCAGACTCGAGGTACGACCAATTTGGTCACGTACCATCCATGTTATGAGCCGTATCTCCAGGATGCCGATTTGTTTAGCGTTCAGCAGTTGGTCCCTATGACTGGTTGTATAGATGCATCTTTGATCACTGCTCTCGTAGAGCGTTGGCGTCCTGAGACATCGACCTTCCACATGCCGGTCGGTGAGGCTACGATCACTCTTGAGAACGTTGCCACACTGAGCGGTCTACCGATCGACAGTGAGGGCGTCATAGTAGACATACCAGATCGGGAGTGGTCGGAGACGTGTGTCAGACTGTTAGGACATACTCCTAGCGATCTAAGAGGGGGTGTCGTTAGGATTAGTTGGCTTAGGGAACATTTCAACAATATGCCGCCAAATGCATCATCAGAGATTACAGAGCAGTTTGCACGAGCGTATGCCCTATCTTTGATGGGGTGTATGTTGTTCCCTGATCGGACTAGAGCTACAGTTCATCTGCAGTATCTACTCTTATTGGAGAATTGGCGGATCGCTGGAGGCTACGCTTGGGGAGCAGCTGTTCTAGCCTACCTGTACAGTGAGATGGGTAGGTCGGTTCTGCATATGACGCAGTCCTCTTCCAACGTCTCGACATCCAAACCGCACCATCCAAGGACAATTGTCATCCTTATGCTTCAAGCATCTAACCTTCCAGATTGAAGGTGACGACTCCACCACGCCATACTGAAAGTTGCGTTGTAGTGCGTGGTGTTTAACCGCCACATGTGCAGCTTGTTTCGAGTGAAATATCTTACCCTTGTAGAATTCCCCTTCAAAACTTGTAACAATAGGCATTGGAATTACCCCATATGATAATTCAACATCCTCTTCAGCAGCCTGCAAGTAAAAATATGGAGGAAAGTTAGGCTGCTCTTCTTCCCCATCTTCCTCCTCCTCCTCCTCCTCGTCATAATCATGGTCAGATGACACACTCCATGTATCATCTTCACCTTGATCAGCCTGGCTAATCTCAGCATGTACCTCGGCACCCAAACAATAGGGATTTTGTGCCATAAAATCGAAAAGCACATTCAAACCATCATCATCCACAATAGGCATCGCATAATGAAATAGAATATCATTCTGTCATTCTGGAAGACGGTAAGTGAAACCTGCGATCATATCACTATCTTGTACTGCTTCGTCTTTACGCCGTATTCTCGGGATTAGATTCTCACAAAATTGATGATATGTCACCCGACATGGAACTGTCAAATGAAACCTTCTACCACCAGCGAAATGAACGCCGAAATTGTCCTCTACTTTCTCCGATTTCCATCAAACAATTAGTTCATATTTCCTAAAATCACTACATAACAAACAAATTCACTAATTACTAACTAAAGAAAATTATAATAGCATTTTAATAATATAATTACAAAAATAAATGTGTCTCTTACCTAGCCATCTTCGAGCAACCAACAGAGCTCCTCCCTCTCATTTTCGTATAAGTTTTTAGTGTGGTGAAAGGAGGAGAATGGAGGAAGATATATATGCTGGAGTGGGGTAAAACACAACCCCGAATCCGCATTAGTCTCATGCGGGTCCGCTGGTCAAAGTTTAGTGAATCTGTCAGCAGACTTTAAAAAGAGACCCGCGTCTCCGCACTAATCCCATGCAGGCCGCACGAGTCCCACGCGAGCCCGCTCATTTTACGTCAAAATACAAATATAGCGGGTCTGCGTCAGTCTAATGCGAATTCACCCTTCTTCCCCCATAAAAACACAATATCTGTGTAAATATACTTAAAACCACCATATTGGTGGTAAATAAAAAAAACAATATTTTGAGAATTTACCCACTGTAATGGCATAGCGAGAAGTCATGATAGTAAATTTGATTTCTTTCATCCAAGACAACTTAACAACAAGATATCTGAATGATTATAATTGGAGTGAATCATCGGTTAAGAAACTAATCATAGAGTAAATCATGTTGAATCTGAACTCGAGCTTTTCAAAGAATTATTATGCATAATTTATGCATGATTAGATATATAAGTGTATATCTCTGTTTTTAAAAAATCATAAAGACCAAAAATAATCTATAAAATATAATAAGACTTTTCCAAATAAAGCCTTCTACCAAAAATAATATAAAGGAAATTACATTCATATTAATTCCATTTTTGTTTTATTTATGATATTACTTCCAATTTTGATTTTCTCTATGATGGAAATCCCAATTGAATTATTAGTACTATAATTATAATTCTACTAAATGCCAACTGGTATTTGCAAAGAAACGTTGGAAAGTTAATTAGAGCCTTTATTACAGTTTCGTCATTAAAATTTTAACAGAGACCAATAGAAGAGCATCAATATACTTTGTCTAACCATATGATCCTTCAAATATAAAGAAAAACTATATGGTCCTTATAAGTTTGTCATTGAAGCATGTTCATACCCTATAAAATTTTGGTGTGCTCAAACGTGAATTGGCGTGAGATGTTGTAATCGAGGTGCATAAGCATTATGGGTAGAGATGAAGTTGCTATAATGACACAATTTAGAGTTCGAGGTGCATTAACATGCAACGACATCAAAATTTTGAGGATGATTTACAAACTTCGGGCCTAGCTGTTCAACTTTGTTTCCTGTTTGGGTTTCTTTGGTTTGGAGTTTCTTACTTTTGGATTGCATTAACTATGAGTATGATTTTAATATTATTTTTTTTATTTGGATCGATTTTGGTAAGTTCAACTATGATATATAATCGTTTCATTGAAGAGGTAATGACTTTTTCGAAATTCCTAAAAGAACTTTCGAAATCATGCTCCATGGGCATGTGAATATAAATATTTTATCCTATAAAAGAGTCGCTATTACTTTTTGTGACGAGCACTTGAGGATCTTAACCTGACCAAATTATTAGGTTCTCAGGGTATAAGCTATGAGATCTCCCTTGACATATTGGATCCAAGCCAGTACAGGGCATTCAATGAGGTTAAAATCGATAATTTTGTCCGTTTCCAACGTGTAAACTATGGGATCTCCCTTGTTAGATCGATCCATCCCATTGAGATCCTGGTTTTCTTCTTCTAATGTACATAAATGTCTGTAGGCAATCGCTTTGATTGATGAATGAACCACATTAAGGAAGTCATAATATTATTACTTAATCAAACCACGTTACAAGCTTCTCGTGGAAGTGATGGTTGGAGAGAGAATATAACTCGTTCATATCGATCAATTTATAATTTCAATTCATTTATTGGCACACATTTAGAGTAGAATTAAGCACTGTAGACGAACGTGACAATTTCAATAAACTTACATCTTGTATACAAATTTAATTACAAACAACTTGTGAAAAGAGTACCACCTGTGATAAACGGGAGGAAATTTTAGTCATTCATTCCTTTTAGTTTGAAGACAATCTTGAAACATATTACTTTCAGAGTAAAATATTCTTGCTACGCCTTCCTTCCTATATCTGCATTGATGTAGCGATTTGGATGGATGTAAGTTATCTTAATCATCTTGCAAATTCATAAATAGTTGTATGAGTGAACTACTCTATATTCAACCACAAGACAACGATCTGAAAGTGATTTTATTGTTAATTGTTGACTGCGAACAATCAGTTCAACAAGAATTAGATATGCATTAACGTAGCAATACAAGGTTTTTTAGAAGCTGAGTGGCATATGTGCACGAGAGTACTTCCCACCACGACCATTTTTTTTTTTAAGGCTCTATGGACCATTGTCAACGATTTCATTTGGAAGAAAAGAATCAAGTTATTACTTCTACCTTCAAAATATCCATAAATATTTCACTTTTCCTCTTATCCCAACATTCATGCTCTGTTTTAGAGTGAGGAGATTCTACAAGATGATTAATTATTATTTTTTCTCCTTGTTTTCACAAACGTTTTAGTTTTAGAATTCGATTGCAATTTGCAAGTTCAAATCAGTTGTCTAATTTAGATAATAGGTAAAATATTTTAGACTTGTTCCTCAAAATTTGAGCTGTGCTAAGCATTTTCACCTAAATGGGGAAATTGATAGGTGGAAATAATATTCAGTTTTACCAGCATCAAACTGAACATACATTGAAAATTAGGACATCTAAAATGATTTTATCTTAGCCAAGTTAACCTCCAGATACATTATAAACAGAAAATTCCCGAAAATGTAAGGAAGTGCGGTACTACCCTTCTGAAAACAGGAGCTGCCCTTCACAAGGCAAAGTGCATTTCTGTAATTACAGTAATGGAAATCGGTAATTTACATTTTCTGCCATAAATACCAACGATCTGTAAATTAATATATAAAACAAAACCTGGCCTGCATTTTTCTATTTTCACATCAGGTTTTACAATTTTCTGTCGGCTTCCTCCCGAGTGATCCAGTCCCAGCCTGAGGAAAGGTGAAAAAGGAATATCAGAAGAGAGAAAATAGGACCTCCGATTTCGGGTCTCGGGGATCCATAATCAGATCCGGAAAATCTCTTCCGGTTCGCTGCGGTAAAATTCCGTCTTCTTCTCCTATCTTCTGTCTCGCTTCCTGTCTTTCTTCCAGTCCATTTTGTCAATTCGTCGAGACCAAAAATTCTCGCTGTGCACTTCTGTTGTACTCTCTCTCTCTCTCTCGCTCTCTGCGCGCCGTTACTGGTGGCTGGCGAAGCTCCGCAGTGGAACTGTGTAAGCGTGCATTCCAGGTCTCATTCTCTTTTTGCATTTCCCCCCTTCTTTTACCGTTTCCCGCGAAGAATTCCGGTAATGGAGTTTTTGAGTCGTTGCACTGGTCGTTGTCTGTCTCTCTCTTGGGGGTTTTCTTCTATAATGCTCTGGCGGGAGGGTGCTCGCTTTCTACAGACTCGATTGTTCTTAATTCCCGAGCGTCTCTAAATTGTTTCGTGGGAGATGAGGCATTGTTTCTGGACAGTCACAATTCAGTTGAATTGGCATGGTGATGGCGTCTTCTTCTCACGCCGCTGTTGTTTTGCCTGAGCATTTCCCGCTTCGCCATGGGCTTGGGAATTTCTTCTGGCTGCAGCTGGCGTTTTGTTTTCCTAAATAGGGCAGCGAAAGGGGAAGATTATAACGCTAGCATTACTTTTGTTGGGGTTTTTTTTTACTCCTTCCCTTTTTATGTTTGGATGGTGAATGTGCATCGAATGGTATCAATGTATGTGGTTGTTTGACTGAGTAGTCCAATTGTAGAAGAAGGCAGATTTTCTAGGGTATATGGTGATGCAAGAACTCAAGATACTGTTAGCAAGGGTTTTTAGCTAATCATTGATTACGTTGTCTAAACTGTAAAGTGAGTATCGATTTGGATCGCACTCAAAGCGCAGCACTATTTAAATTCATCGATCCTTGGTAGTCGTTAAAAGATAAAGGAATGGACTGCGCTCAATGCATAGTGCTATTTGACTTCATCGATCATTGACTATTCTCTAAAAGAACGATGATTGGACTGCTCCGGAGGCACATTACTATTTAAATTCATCGATCATCGTCTAATCTTTATAAGAACGAGGATTGTCTTTCCTTTGTTAGCTCTTAGAAGTTATTTGCCGTTACGTTCTGTTGGGAACTTCTTGTGGCTTCTGTATGTTTGGGTGTTTTATGTTGATTCTATATGTCTTGCAGAATATGAGTAGCTTGGTTGAGAGGCTAAGAGCCCGATCTGAGCGGAGGCCAATATATAA